TATCACGGACATTCAACGGTACACTCGGGAACAATCGGAGCGTCTCGTTGATGACTGCGCGGAGGAATGGCATCTTGCGGAGGTCGTCGAGACTTGGTGTTCGAGTGGAGGGGTGAGGGGTGGTGGTGGCGGGGTGTTCGTCGATGGGAGAAGAGGAGGGCGAGGTTTCGAGTACGTTGCTGACTTCTTCGCTGAGTCTTCGGAGGACGGCGGGGTGTTGAGAGAGGAGATAAGTAGCAAAGGTCATGCACGAGGCAGTCGTGTCACGTCCAGCAATCAAAATATTGATCAACTCGTCCTGAATCAGCTGATGATCTACAACCAAGTTAGCATGAATAAACATAAATTAAAAGAATGCCTCACCATCCGAGACAGTGACCAAATGGTCGAGGAGCGTCTCGCCTTTCTCAACAACCTCTGGTTTCTCATCTGCAGAATACCTCTGCCCCTCCAACCTCTCCCTCTCCTCTCTCCTCTCCAACGCCCTCTTTACAATCCCCGACACAAACTCGCGAATGATCTTGACGTCCTTGCCCGTTCCGTCCCTCCTAATCTCCAATAGTGGCCACAGAGAGCCGAGACGGAGACGAGATGCGAGGGTTTGCAGGGCGGATGTGAATGCAGAGGGAAACGCGGGAGTTTTCGGGTCAGCTTGAGAGGTGGCGGGAGAAGAGGCGATTGGGAGGATAGATTCTTGACTGTTGGATCGTTTAGGTGTAGGTGGTGACGACTTTTCCAGACCTTTGGAAAGCTTGCAAGATCCGAGTGTAGACGAGGGCGAGGTGGTATCCTTTTCAACGGATAGACTAGAAGGAGAGGTAGTGCAAGACGAAGGCAATGGAGCTTCTGTATCGTTCCACGGCCTCGGTAACTCTTCCTCCAAACTATTGACACAACTGCCAAACAGGAACTCGGTGGTAGCATCCAACGTCAAGCGCGACGCCAAATCCTGCACATCAATCGTCGCCAACCCTTCCATACCACCGTTGCCACTCTTGCCATTTCGCTTGGTGACGAGATCGAGAGCGCGGTCTGCGTGTCGGACAAAGACAGGAATGATATCTCGTAGTCGGTCGCGGGTGAAAAAGGGGCGGGACATGGAACGGTGGAAACGCCAGAGATCGCCGTTGGTGTTGAACACGCCCGAGCCGAGTACAGAGCGGAGAGCATCCGTCATACTCGTACCTACACCATAGTCAGCACGGTTGTATAAGAGTGATGCGCTGTGGCGCATAAAGATACCCACCCTTGATATAATTGCTAAAATCGTTGGTAAGAATATCCTTGACAATCTCCGGATCACAGGTAAACACCGTGTTCTTCCAACACATTTTGACTGCATACGTCTCCACATTCCTCTCCTCCTTCTCCGCTTTGCCACTCTCTGCCAACCCCTTCATGATCCTCCCGGCAATATCACCCGGATACCCCGTCTTCCACACCCTCATCCCACTCTTCAACA